CTTTTATCCTCGCGTTCTCCTTTTGTTCCACTAATTTCTAAACAAACCTCCTTTCACCTCGAGGATGATCCGATCCTTTTCGCGTCTGTGGAAGAACAAAGACACCATCGCGGCGCCATCGCTCACCAATTTGCTCCGCCGAGAAGAGCGCTAGTCGAACGGGTTTAATTAACGTTAATCTCGCTTTGAGCGAAATTGCCCAATCGACGTTCGTGCGCTTCATGATGAAAACGTTGAGGATTATTGCATTTACGTACAATGTGTACCACGACAATGTAATAACTTTTACGCTGTGACATTACTCCTCAGCGATTATATTCTTTAACTAACTTCTCACTTGATTTGACAAAACTCGAATTTTTCGAAAAGCATGATTGAAATCATTTCCTAACTCAATTTCGACAATTCCGATTTATAGAGATTCAGTGCCTAATTCTAATTCTTTTTAAAGATTCATTTTGTTCGTTACCTTCAGTTTAGAAATATTAAGATAACAAGTGGACAAATTAGACGCAAGGACGTTGAGGATCAATTTTCTTGTAGATGAGTTCTGTCAAGAGTTTCCGCACAACCTGATACCAACACCCGGCTACTGGATCGAATGTTCACGGCAACAGATCACTTCGGACACGATCTGGGACGAGAGTGAGAGCGAGGCTACCGATCCCGAGCAGGTGGAGGAACAAAACGCGGAGGATACACGTTCTTCGATACTGAAACGGCAAGACAACAGTTGCCTGTTCGAAGCGGAGAATGAAGGCGACGGTGACGACCCGCCTCGAAAGAAGACCACCATTGAAGAGCAATGGGAAAAGAATCAGGGTTTCGAGCTCACCTCGGTCGAGCAGGAGACCTACGAGAAATATTTCTACGGTTCGGAGCATTGGAACTACTTTACGAACGACGAGGATCTCGGGCCGGTGATACTTAGCATCAAACAAGAGACACTCAACAGCCGCGATCAATTTAGGATTTTGGTCAGAGCCATTAGTTACACGGTCCACGGCCTTATCCCTGCCAGTTGCGTCTTTGCTGATCGGTAATTCTGGAATTTTGGAACAGTCTTGCCTACACATATACAATATATCGCATTACTTTTCGTTAAGAGAATTAATAAAAGAGCAGATAAATTATTATGCCAACTATGAATAAAACTATTTTAAATATTTCTGGAATAATAAAACGCATTGTTAATTATTATTTTTTATATTAGTAATTTATTCTAATAGTTTCATGCATCCGACGAGTTAAAAATTTGTTGATTAAATACATGTTATAATCAATATGTCCTCGAAGATACACGAGACATGGCAGATATTTTTTGCAGATATAATCGAGAAGAAGTGGTACGTAGCCTCGGCAAGGAGGTGAACATCAATCCGCCGCTAACCCTGGGCCAATTGCCAGATACGCCCGAAGAACTTTTGAAGCTCGATCAAGTTTTTATCAAGTCTGAGCTGAAGGTCGGGGTGATTTATGTCCAGGAAGGTCAGTACAGCGAGGAGGAGATACTCGATAACAACGACAACTCGTCGCTCTTTGAGGAATTCCTACAGATTCTCGGGGACAAGATCAGGTTAAAGGGATTTGACAAGTACAAAGGTGGTCTCGACACCGTACACGATTTGACGGGCCTATATTCTGTCTACACTAATTGGAGGGGTATTGAAATAATGTTCCACGTGTCCACCTTATTGCCTTACGAAAAACACGACCCTCAAAAGGTGAGTTTTATTTATTCGCATGTTAGTTTATTTTTATTAATCACCTAACGATAGCAGAACTTTAAGTAATAAGACCTATCTAAAATTCATATAAAAATCTTCCGTCTTTTATTCATGCAGCTTCAGAGAAAAAGGCATATTGGCAACGATATAGTGTGCGTCGTATTTTTGGAAGCCGACAACACGAGCTTCAGTCCAGCTTGCATCAAGTCGCACTTTTTACATACATTTATTTTAGTGCGAGTGAGTCCACGTATAAAGCGGAAAATCACGAGATACGAGGTGTCCGTAGTTACGAGAGATGAAGTTGGGGCCTACAAACCATATCTGTGGGAGCAAAGCGTTTTCGAAAAAGGTACTACCTACATTACATTTTTACATAAAATATTAACGTTATTAATGAAAATTAGTTTTCTTTGATAATTTAAAACAGAATTTATGAAAAAATTATCATATCATAGGAAGAGTTATATAGTTTTTCTTCTATCAACGGATATTGTTTTAGTTAACATATAATCATTGGTATTATAGATGCATTAAATGATATAACTAATTTGCATAACAATATAACCTTCATTATAAATCTATCTGCTTTGCAACAAAATTTAATTTGATATTACTTTGTGTTTTAATTTCCATTTTAATATCGTAATTACTGAGTTTTTAATTTTGAAAAATAACGACAATGTAAATGGTGAGATTAAATTGGCTATCTCAGAATTTTAAAATCTTTTGTATGTCGAACTTACTTGTCGAATTGGATTTACGGGCGCAACAGGTCCGATGTTCCGGGAATGGATATTAACGAAAATCGTGAATGGCGAGAGGGCGAGCTATTCCGCGCCGAAATTCGCGAGAATGCAGGAGAGGACGAGAAGTCAAATGTTGGAGGACATCGTCGCGAATCTCGCTAATCACGCGGAAACCGGGCAGATTCCGAAACCGTACAGGTGAGATGCGATCAAAAGATAAAAAAGTAATATTAATAAGAGTTCTTGACTAGAATTATTGCACATGTAGAAAACTAATCTAAAAATACACTAACTACATTTCATTGCATTAAATTAATATGCTTGTTATACACTGTTAGATATTAAAGAGTCAAATTTGATTCAATTTCTTAAGTTAAATAATTTTAGTTGTTTTTAACTATCATATGTGTTGAAATTCGCTATTTTAACGAAAAACATGTGTTTAAAAAAAATAACTATATCAAATTAACTCACTTTATGTAGTTAAAATATTTAGTTGAAAGAAAATAGCGCCACTATTCAATAAAACGAGTAACGGTGATGTTGCTAGGAGCGATACAAGTTGCCGTGTAGAGACAGCGCGCGTACGTCGCGACGAATCACAATGTGTCTTGATACCGTCGAATAAACGCGTTGTGTCGAAGAAAAGATTATGTTAATGTTAAAGTGTTACTTATTTGTGATTTTTAGTGAAATTTAACGAAAAGAAATTTAATGAAAAGAAGAAAGTTATAAATCAAATTGTATCTTCGTCTTTTACTGTTATGTTTTTTTATTGTCGTGTATTTGTAACATTTGGTTTTGAAAATCATTTTCATGCTTATGTTGTGCGTTATTCGGAAGATTACATATGTATAAAGAAATCAGCATTGTACGATTTTCGAATTTATTGTATACGTAAATAAATCATTTATTACTGGCGACGAAAATTATTATATATGTTTACGAGACAAAGTTCGACTAAAGATGTATAATTATGTTGCAAAATTTCAAAAAATAAAATATGTATATGTACATATACACATGATTGTTTATATTTAAAACTGCATTAAAATTTACAATTCATTAAATATAATAACTTTAATTTAACTATCACATTGTGTTGAAAATAACAATAAGAATAGTAATATTTAATTAAAATCTGAGTAGCCTTTGACTATTATAGATTAGTGATATTAGTAAATTAAAACACAATATTGAATCATTTTTTACTAAATCAAAAGCGTATATTAACGTATGCACATAATAAACAAAATTTTAGTCAAATATAACACACTTCTTGAATAAAATTATTTAACTCAATCGTTTAAGTTAAATTAACCATATATTTAGTTAGGAACAATGGCGTCTTATAGGAATGGTTAAAAATGACTAAAATTCGATATAATTTGATACTATGGATTTAACAGTGTAAAAGTTTCATTATGGATATTCATTATGAATTATTGTGAATGTGAAGTGTGTTGGCGTATCATTGTGGAAATT